ATCTCTCTTCCTTCTTTGTATTAGACCCCATTTTCATTGTTACCTTGCATTTATCTCCTCATTCGGTTCTCTCTCTATGTCTTTTGACACATACGTGTTCAGAAATAGACCAGATCTCAAACAGAAACAAATGGACTTACCTGTTGATCTCTTCTCTCTCTCTCTCTTTATATATATATATATATACATATAATATAGTGCAGTGACACATGTAGAGGAGTACAAGCCATCATTAAGGTTATTTATTTCTTGATTTGGTTCATTTTCTTAACTAAACTTAAGCTGTTAACTAATCGTGGTTAAACCCAGTTGTTTTCGTTGGAATAAAGCCTTTACTGATGAAAAAACAAAAGATATGCAGTACAGGTGTTAACAAAATAATGTGTCTGTTTTATACAAAGCTCATTTCCTTTTATAATTTAACCCATGTGAATCATCAGGTTTTGCCAAACAGGAAAACAAATCTTGGTTAAGTTATGTAATTAAATGGTTTCAACTGCTTCCGCTAAAATAGGCATCACTATGATAGATAAGGATGGGTTAATTACAGCTTTAAAGGCACTTAAACCTGCAAGAAATAAACTCAGACGATGAAGAACCCTAATCATCACGTGTCTAATTTCCAGGAAGAGAGAGCTGACATTGTCAAATACTAGGAGTAGAGAAATGTGCCTTTCTCAACAGTGCTTTGTTTCAAGGAAAAAATATACACATAACTTATTAGCAATTTTGTGGGAACTTACCAGGTACCGTCAGTTCATAGCGAAGCACGTGCTAAGAAACAAGGACGAGTGTAAAGCGTACGGTTGTACTGACTACTGGCACAATTACAAAGGTTTGTTCCAAAACCTCCCTCAAGTCCTTGGAATAATCCAGAAAGTATAAATAACAAAGAAATTGGAATATAACGTAGGAACGGGAGAAACATTTTAAAGGGTAATTTTGTTTATTGCTTCCCCTCTTCTAAACATGAGGAGGGCAATGTGTTGGTACGGATTTTAGGTGGGATCCACAACCGGTCAGAGAGTAGAGAACTGCTCTTCAGACTAGAAACGGAATGTCTGGAATAATATCGAAATACATTAATAAAACAAAGCTATATCACTTGCAGAGCTGAGTAGAAAAACTTCAAATTATAACTAAAAATAAATGTTCAATCTCAAATGCATTTTATTTTCATCGAATAGGATTAACACATTTTTCTCAGTTTAATAAACAAATTTACAACCATGCAATAATGTGTGTCACCTGACATTTGAACTGATAAAGTGTAAGCTAGATCACGGAAAGATTCCAAATAAATTTACCAAGCAACCAGGATGTTGGGTTATCTAAATTAGAACAAGGTGTGTGATTAACTGCTAATGGCGCTTTAAACTAAAAAGGAATGAAAATGTTTTAATGTAACTACATAAATTAGGCCTAAGTTTATCATGAAAATAATTGGATCCTCTGAATATTGCGGATTTTTTTTAACTCGCAAAAGGAAGCGTTTTAATCAACGTGACATATTTAGTTAATGAATTACTAAATGTAGCCATTTCCCTGGTGTATTCCACACTGATACCGTGCCTTGTTTATGTACAACCTAATTTATCAAAATGTATCCAAAAATTTGTGTTTATCAATAAAGAGCCATTTTAAAGTGAAAATTAGAATACAATGAGAAGTTTTCTTTAAATATTTACTTTATTAATGTAAGTGAAAACCACACGATTTGTAATTCATTTGCATTTCCCACTGATTAACATACAGTTTGAAGCACGAACAAAACCCATTACATGTTTAGAGCTTCAGGGAAATGTGTTAACACCTTTCGTGATTAATAACAAGCATAATTATTGCCCTGGAAGCTACCACCAGTTACGGGCGATAATTACCAACCTAAATAAGCCTTTGTACATGAGCGCACGATCGACCTTCAATTATCGTGGGTTCTATGGTTTATTGAAGGTAGGATTTCTTATTTCAATCACGTGTTTTCATAGTGAACTATTCTATTATGAAATGTTTACATAGTTGTACCGTAAATTGTACTGAATTCTCAATTGTCATACACCAAAGAACACACATCGAAACGTAGGATTATCGATTTCGCGGAGTATCACTGACAGACTAAAGCGGTTTTTAACAACAGTTCTAAGGTACTTGGTTATCCTACCTCATCATCTTTCTGACACTTTGATTTAATGCTTTTATTTTCAGTGAAACATGTTCAATAATGATTTATATCATTGAGGTAAAAAACTGGCCTATCAATACTCATCTCTACCATCAACGTAAACATAAGACAAGCTCTATACTGACCTATACCATTGAGACAAACATATTCTATACTGATCTATACCACTGAGGCGGCAAACATAAAACGCGCTCTATACTGATGTATACCATTGAGACAAACATATTCTATACTGATCTATACCACTGAGGCGGCAAACATAAAACACGCTCTATACTGATCTATACCATTGAGACAAACATAAGTCACGCTCTGTACTGATCTATACCATTGAGGCAAACATAAGACATACTCTATACTGATATATACCATTGAGAAAAACATAAGATACGCTCTCTACTGATCTATACCATTTAGAAAACATAAGATACGCTCTGTAATGATCTCTACCATTAAGGCGGCAAACACAAGACACGCTCTATACTGACCTATACCATTAAGAAAAACATAAGACACGCTTTATACTGACCTATACCATTGAAACAAACATAAAACATACTCTATACTGATCTATACCATTAAGGCGGCAAACACAAGACACGCTCTATACTGACCTATACCATTGAAACAAACATAAAACATACTCTATACTGACCTATACCATTGAGGTAAACATAAGACACTACCAGTGTTGCCCGGAATCATTTGATAAAGCGAATAGAGAAATTTCTTACTACTTGTGCTTATTGTATTTTTACGTTAGTCGTGAAATAAGAAAAGGTGCGTATAAATAAAGTCTCAATTTCTGTACTATACGAATAAATGAAGCTGAATTTCTGTAGCTATACGAATAAATGAAGCTGAATTTCTGTGCTATACGAATAAATGAAGCTGAATTTCTGTGCTATACGAATAAATGAAGCTGAATTTCTGTGCTATACGAA